AGCAACCACACGTGCTGTATTTCAGAAATATTCTCCAGTCAGAAACTGAAAAACTAACTTCACACTGCCTTGAGTGGGAAAGGAAGCTTGAATTGGACATTCCAGATGAAGCCAAAGACCTTATTCGCCTGGCAGTTGGTCAAACAAGACTCCTTATGAAAGAAAGGTTCAAACAGTTTGAAGAACTGGTGGACAATTGTGACTATAAACGAGGAGAAAAGGATACCACCTGTACAGACCTGGATGGCTTTTGGGATATGGCTAGCCTTCAGATATGGGATGTAAACCAAAAATTCAACAATCTGACCAAACTGGAGGAGTGTGAATGGCAAAACAATAATAATACAAGCAAAAAAGTCTTTCAGAAAAAAGTTGTTTCGGGTATAGCAAGTAAACCAAAACAGGACGATGCTGGGAGAATTGCAGCCAGAAGTCGCCTCGCTGCTGTGAAGAAGGCAGTGAGAGAGAGGATGCACGGGGAGAGCAGGCCGAGGCCGAGGGCTCTGCAGCGCCGAAGGAAGTTGATCAAATAGTGTTTGACGCTGGATTTTTTAGAATTGAAAGTCCCGTTAAATCGTTCTCAGTATTTGACAATAAAAATCTTATGACTGAATGCCATCTTCTTGATTCACCACGCCCAGGGTGCAGCAATCCCTTCACACAGGTGCAGAGGAAACGACAGGAGCATGCCAGACATACTTCCTTTGGTGGGGACTTAATTGCCTTTTCACCTCCAACGCCTCCTAATGGAAATCAACCAGAAGAATTGTGAATTAAAAAAAGCAAAACATTTCTCTTCATATTCTCCATGCTGTAGTGTATTCTTCAAATACTGAAAAGTTAAAGAATATGGAAAAAAAAAAGAATCTATACAGAATAACAATAGTTATATTAATTGAGCCCTTAAAATGTTTCAGGCTCTCGGCTAAGCACTTCCATTTACTAACTTTTGACTCTTCATAGCAACCTTAATGTAAGTACTGTTATTATCTTTATTTTACAAATGATCAGATTAGAAAATAGAAGTAAAAAAAAATGACTTGCTAAGTTCACACAGCTAGTATGTGGCAGAGCCAGGATCTGAAACCAGCATTCAGGCTCCAAAGCCTATTTCATTAACCACTTGACCATATCACTTCTCATGATGGGCGTCTGTTCTTCCACAGGATTGGTGTCTGCACTTATTCCAATTTGCAATTATTTAATCTGTCTGTGTATTAATTATCTATTGATGCGTAACAAACTACCCCTAGTCACAGCAGCTTAAAACAAACATGATCTCGAAGTTTCTGTGGGTCAGGAATACAGGAGTGGCTTAGCTGGATGGTCTGGCAGAACCTTTCATGAGGTTGTAGTCAACCTATTGGTCAGGCTGCAGTCATCTCCACGTTCAACTGGGACTGAAGGATTCACTTCCAAACTCACTCACGTGGTTGTTGGCAGGCCTCAGTTCTTTCCTTGTCAAGTGGGCCTCTCCTTGGGCTGCCTGAGGGTCCCCACGACTGGCAGCTTTGCATAGAGGGAGTAATCCAAGAGAATGTGTGACCACCTATGAGAGAAGCAGAAGTCTTTTTTATAACCTAATCTTGCAAGTGACATTTCATCCCTTCTGCTCTATGCTATTGATCACACAGACCAACCCTGGTAAAATGTGGGAGAGGACTACACAAGGATGAGAATACAGGAAGTGGGGATCACTAGGAGCCATCTTGGAGGCAACCTACTCAGTCTGTTTGCTCGTTTTTTGTGACTGCCTCCTCTACTAGAATGTAAACTTCACTAGTGGGGAAAAACCATCAGTGCTGCTCACTGTTATATTCTCTGCCACAGCACCTGACACAGAACAGACTGTGAGCAAATACCAAATAAATGTAATGATGATGGTGATGTGAATTCCAAAGGATGAGCTCCCTATAATCCTGTCTTACACTCATACACAAATTCCCTGTTGCCATTCATGGTAACATTTAAATAATTTTTAAAAGAAGGAATACATGATGCCCAAGAACCTTTATTCATGTATACAATTTCTATATAACTATAGAAAGTGGGCTTGGAAGGAAACACACCAAATTCATGAGAATGATGGCCTTTGAGGAGGAGAAGAAAGTAATGGTGTTGGGGTTGAAAGTCAAATAGGGCTTCACCTGCAATGTTTTCTTCTGATGAAATTTTTTATTGAGGCAATATTTAATGATGGTCAATTCTGGGTGGTGGGAATATGGGTATTATTCTCTCCACTTTTCTATATTTTTAAAATTTCTCAAAATATGCTAGATACAAATTGTAAAAGTCTCACCCAATTGGAACATGTGTCTATCCTGCCTTCCTTTGGCTTTCTGCTCTAATTAAGGGTGTATCTACAAACCCCCCTCTCCAGATGACTCAGACCAAAACTTATTTCCTCCTGAAATTGCCAGGCTTTTCTGGTTTGAATTTCTACAAAATCACCTTGGTCCGCTGCTTCTCCACTTTCTGTGTTGATGTAGATAGAGTCACAGCTTCCTTGTGCTGAGGGAGAGAGGCCTGCACAGCAGCAGCCTGGCCGGCAGCTGAGACTGTGGTTACTGGCCCTGGTTCCAACACAATCCTCTGAGGCCAGAATCCTGGGCCCTGCGCTCCTTTCTAAAGCTCTGCTGCCTCTTTCCCTAACACACAACCAATAGTCACGCTGGACCAACACTGGAAGGACACATGGAAAATTCTAAATCTGTAGGTATCAGATTATGTAACTTTTTCCTTTTATTTTGATCTTCATTCAGGCTGTTTTAAAAGTAAGTTCAGAAAATCAGTCAATCCATTAACAGTTCCCTTTTCAAAAGGAAGCCCAATGAAAACCTGGACTCCTATGAATGAAAGCATTTTTAGCTGCTCTCTTAAAATAAATCCCCAATGTCTATTAGTAAGCTGGTGAGAGGCAGTTTCAGAGGTTAGAGCAGCAACTAGGTACTTTCTGGGAAACAATCTGAGTGAAAATAAAGTCAAAAGCAGCATCAGCCTGGAGGAGTATGTTTGATACTCAAGTCCAATATCTCTCACAGTGCTTTGTTCAGGTTTTCTTTCTTTCCATAACAATCCTGTCTGGTAACAAGTGACTATTCCTGTCTCCCATGTCCTGGGCCCAGGGAATGAGTAGGTGGGCAATACAGCCCAAACAGGCATGTTCCTTAATTCCAGGCACCCCAGAAACCACACCCAAAGAGGAAATAGTGGCACAAAACAAGCCAGCTGAGGACTCAGACTGCCTTGCCTATTCTGGATGCAGACTGGGGTGCACCTCGTGGGGAGGCTGAACTCCACTGCACTCCGGGGCCCCTGGGCAGAGGGGCTCCCCAGGCCTCTAAGACAGTGCCCAGATTTTTCTTCAAACACAGTGAATACTTTTCTCATAACAGGCCCTCTAACATGAACTTTTCAAACCTCATAGGCCTGGTTCCACATGCTGGCCCTGCAACTTCTGAAGGGCTTTGGGTCTCTCTGTAAAATGATTGTAAATATTATCACTGGGGTGTAGTGAGCACTACAGGCCACGATATATACGACACATAGCAAGCATTCAATAAATTACACGTTATTGGTCTTGTAAGACATCCCGATTCCTAAAGTTTTACAAAAACATATGATTCTTCATTAAACAACTTCTTTGAGCTGCTGCCCAACCAGGGTTTCCTGGTCCTAGCTCAACAACTCAGGACTGTTTTTCAGAAGAACTAAGCACTAGGAAAAAGGAATTAGAGAGGTGTCTTCAGCTAGCCTTGTCCCATCTCTGGAAATTTCCATTCTGCGGGCTTTCACCTTTCCCCCCTAATTCATTCTTTCAATAGGTATTTATTGAAAACTCTGTTCAAGATACTGGTGCAGAAGAAAAAACAAATACGAAAAGTCTTTGTCTTTGGAGAGCTTTCAACACAGGGTGGCAAACAAGGACTCCCTAAGCAGAATCCCTGTGACTAACCTGGTGAGGAGCTCAGTCACGACTTTGCAGGCTGGTCAACCTAGTCTACGGACTGTGCCCCACTACCTTTCAATTCTCCCTTCTCTCACATACTTGCTCAGCATCTAGAAATCACATCCACCCTACCAAGCCCAAGGGTGAGACAATCCTTCTTTACATTAACATCAAGCTGCAGAAGAAATTCCTCAGTGGGGCCTGGACACCCCTCCGCCCCCAGGGCTGCTGGGCCCTCACAACTCCTCCAGAATCTCTCCGCTTGTCTCTATTTTGTTGCTGGCCCTACTCTCCACGGGAACCAGTCACGGCTCTTCTCAGACGGCCCACTCGACAACCTTCCTCCTTCTCTACAGGTGACACTGTCTCCTCCTTAAAGTGAAAATCGAGGCCCCCTAAAACATTACCCAGGCCTGCTCTTCATTCATTCATTCAACAAATATTTATCCGAGCCGACTCCGAGCCTGCAGTGTGCAGTGAGGGAGACACAAAAGCGAGAGCAAAGCCGCCACGGTCCCGGCCTTCAGGGACCTCAGTCTACTGTTAAGTTACACAGCAAGCAGAAATTACACACACGATTGCACGCTCCGAAAGCAACTAGAAGGAGAATTCCAGGTGCCGCAAATCTTAGGGGCCAGGAGAGTTTTCCTTAAGAAATGATATCTGAGGAACAATGTCGACAACAAAATGGAGGTTAACTAAGGCAAGAGGCGGGGAGGAGCGTGCAGGCAGAGGGAAGAGCAGCTGCCGAGGCCCTGGGGTCAGACGGAGCAGGCCTCCTGAGAGGACCTAAATGGAGCCGCGCGGGCAGGGGCTGCATCATACACGGGGCCTCCTGTCCCCCGCACGGGGGAACCAGAAGCCATAAAGAGTCTTCGAGGGGGCCCAGGGCTGCCCTTGTCCAGCGGGGCGTCCCCGGCGTCCCCAGCGCGCCGTGCCCCCCAGCCCTCGGCCGGTTCCCACCGCCACTGGCCGGCAGGACGACGGGAGGCGGCGCGGGACCGTTTCCCGGGTGCGCTCCAGGCCGGGCCTCGGCGGAGGCAGCGGGCGGGGCCGGGCGGCGAGGCGGGGGGCGGCCTGCGCGGGCACCTCGGGGACCCGAGCGCGACCAAGAGCCGCCGCGCCCGTCCTCGCGCCGCCGCGCTGTGGCCTCCGCGGAGCTGCGGCTGCTCTCGGCGGAGGGAGCCAGGCCCCGCGGCCCCAGGCGCTCGGTCGGCGGCCCCCGGGGCGGGGCCCGGAGCCTCCGCGGCCACGGCGTGCAGGTGAGAGCGCGGCCCGGGGCGGGCTGGGGGGTGCCCGGCAGCCAGGGGGCCCGTGCGGCCCCGGGACCCTCGGGACGGTCGGGCCGCGGCAGAGGCGGGGCCGGGGGCAGGCGGGGGAGCCCCTGCCCGGCCAGGCCCGGCGACCGGCGTCGGCCTCTCCCCAACTCTGCGGTTCCTCCTTGTCGCTGTGGCAAAGGTGGCGCAGGAAGGAAGCCCGGGAGGCGACCCTGCGCCCCGGAGGCAGCGCTGAACACTAAGGCGTCTCTCCTTAGCCCCGCTTCCCCTGTGAGCACGAGCGGACCGCAGTTTTGCAGAACCTGGATGGTGGCGTGCTGTAACTGGGCTGCTTTCTCTTAATAACACCTCACGCGCATGTGCCCGTGGCTTCCAGGGGTTTTCTGCGTCCTCTGTGCTGGCCGCGCTGACTGCGGGGCGGGGTGCCCGCCGCCCGGGCTTGGCGGTCGGTTTGTGGAGGGGCAGGACTGTGATTTACTCAACGGATTCCCTCCCTCACGGCGAACAGAAAGGTGGTTTTCGGTTTTTCGGTATTATAAAAAGCGGCTCCAGTGAGCACGGTTCCGGCTTGTTTGGGGGGCGTGATCATTTGCTTAGAGTGAATCCCTCATAAACCTTATGGTATCCGTTGCAAAATGATCCTCAGAAGAGCGTTTCTCGTCTTTGTCGCTCCCGTAGCGTTTGGGAATACCTGGCTCCAGGAGGTTCCTGGCCGACTTTGCTGGAGGCCCCAGTGCTTCGCAAGGGACGGGGCGTACAGTGTCAGCACCTGCTTGTTGAAGGGCGGCCTGCCTTGTGGCCGGCCTTGCCTAGAGCTTTTGCTGAAAAGGGAACTATCAGCACTTTAGTAATTTTAAAAACGAATTGTGTTCAACTTGGACAAACCAGTGCGGTCCCCAGTACAGTTAAACCTAAGTTAAGGGACAATTCAAGCTGGGGTTAGATGAACAGTGGAAACGTGTGAATATTTAAAGCCATACTCTGAAACATGGGTGTTGGGTTGCTAGGGAAAGGATTTTAAAAGATGACGGTGATGGGTACATCACTAGATACTCAAAAAGCTCTCTTTGAAGCCAGCTAAGAAATTTCAAATGAGCAACATCGTCCCCGACAATCAAAATAAATGGAATTTGTTTTCCATCCTTTTCATTTACATTTTAAAACTTTGCGCTAAAAGAAAGAGAATTTTTCTTTGTATTTATCATTTTCCAGTTTGATCACATGATCCTGAACATTAAGTGTGTGTATAAGAGTTTAAAAATGACAGCGGATTAATTCCTTTCTCCCAAGTTTTAAACCAAAGCTTTCCCTGGGCTTCCCACCCATTCGGCAGGGCTAGGATCCTTGTTCTGCGGCCCCCTCTGTCCTTTACTGCTCCTCTTTACAAGACACCCCCATGGCTGTGCGGTAGTCATCTTTGGGTCTCTCCAGAGTCCCTTCCTCTGAGCTTCGTGCCCAGCTGAGCGCCTGGCACAGAAGTGACTGATAACTCTTAGCGTACTGGACGAAGTTGGAATATGGCATGTGGTTATTAAGTCCAGTTGGTAACTTAGAGATCTGTGTGTGACACACATTTCTCATTCACATCAGTGAAGTAGAAATCAGGAACAAGGACAGTTGCGATCATCTCTTAGTTACAGGTACATTCCAGGAAACACAACCAGCAGAGCCACGGGGTCTCTTTTTTTTTTTTATAACAACTTTGTTGAGGTATAATTCACATACATACAGTTCACCTATTTGAAGCATCTACAATTCAGTGTTTTTTTGTATATTACAGTATTAATTTTTTAAAGTTATGCTAAAACATATATAACATAGAAAGTGCCATTTTAACCGTTAAGTGTACAACTCATTGGCATTAAGTACATCACAGTGTTGTGCAACCATTCACCACTGTCTATTTCCAAAACTTTTTCAACACCTTAAACAGAATACTCCATAAATAAGTGTTGAATGTACCAATGAATGTTGATAGTTTAGAGAAAATGTTTAAAAAATAAATGTGATCTTGATTTCCAACTCCCTTCTAATCTGTTGTGTTGTCTTCTATACTTCCTTGTGAAAAGTTAATATAATTAAGATGCTACCGTGCCTTATCTCAGTGTGATTTAGTAATGTTTGAAGTTCCTTGTAATGAAAAACTGGGCAGTCGTTTCAAGTTTGAATGCTGCATTACTGAACTTTCTAGAATAAAAGTTGTAGAACAAAACTTGAATGATATCCCTAGGTCCACTCTGACTTACAAAGGACGCCTTTCTCTTATGCTGTTTGGCTTACTCTATTGCTGTGTTTTCTCTTTGCTTTCATAGTTGCAGGATACCCTCCACCTTCACAGAAGGTATCTTAGGGCTTCTTAAGACTAGAAAAATCCACACATTTGTAAGGTGCTGATAAAAAAAACGAGGGATTTATTTTAGGTACAAAGTGTTTTGAATCTTTACCTAGTTTTTATTCTAAAATTCTTAACTTTTCTTTGCCTATTGGGTTGCTTTTCTGGCTGCTAATCTCTTCTTTAACATCTTTTTAAAAATAATTTGTGGCTTCTGGCTGTTTCCAGCCAAAGAAGGTTGGTAATCTCTCGTTTTTAACAAGGAGAGAGCACTCTTGGGCATCTATAGGGAAAAGGCTAGAGTAGATCTTGGGAGCAAAAAATGGCTGAGCCTGTTTTCCAACAGCTTTGGCAGGGGTATACCTGTTAATCCCAAGTCTTCAAATGTGGAGAGTTTCCTATGCATGTTAGTACCTGTGTGCTTCTGATTTCAGTAGAACTTAATTAGCACTACAGCCCACTCGCTGTTTAGTTAATTGAGCAGGAGTCCTGAGCTCTAGTTCTGGCTTGGGCCCTGCTAGTGACCTGAGCAAACCACATTACTTTTGGGGATTCCTTACTGGCACTAGTAAATTAAGTGGGCTTGTGTAGGTGGGTAAATTGTTTACTCTTAGAAAGCTAACTAGCTTGTCCCTGGCTGCTTCCTGGAAACTCAACATTTCTTTGAAGTTATCTAAAAAATAAATTTTTAAAATTATATATTCCACCCTAATATAGCTTTCTGAAATTTAATATGAAGATTGCATTTTAAATGTTACCACCCTGAAATGTTGGTGCTTCCAGAATATGCATTCTGTTTATCTTGGAGTTTTATGTATTCCCTGACCCACTGCCTCATACCCCTTGGGGCTTCTTGTGCCTCAATTTGAGAAGCGTGGGACCCAGAGGACCTCTAGGTCTCTTGCAACTCTGATGTGGTATAATACTTGAAGTAAACTGGAGTTTATTTTCTAGTTTTAGGAAATTATAAATCCATACTAGGGAAAAATTTTGGTCGATTTGCATGACTTCTTTCCCTGCAAATTAGAGATTGCAATTCTATTGTATGTAAAAGTTGTTTCATCAGAAACTGCATGCAATTTAAGAAATGGATTGCAAAGTTATAACAACCCTTTGCAGATATCATCTTTGTCGCTCTCATGCTTTCTTCGCTGCAATTCTGCTTTTTTCTTTCCTGGCTGCTAATTGGATTAAAGACTGTTTTGCCAACCATGGCATCTGGAGATGACAGTCCTATCTTTGAAGATGACGAAAGGTAAATGTCTTACATTACAATAAAACTAGCTTTTGGAACTTTCAAGATTGTTTTAATCATTCAAAAGAGTTATTTATCTAGGCTGCTTTTTTAAGGACACGTTTTGTAAGATTGCAGAATGCATGGTTTTGCTTTTCTGTATTTAGAACAAGTGTAGGAAACACCTGGCATGGCGGTGGCTGCCACTCATGTGGCATCTTTTCCCACGGGGTCTGGTTGTGAGATCTCCAAATCCCTCTCAGCACAGAGTTCTTGGAAATCACTTCAGAGTGGTATAAATCCATGTCTCGTCTCTGATTTAGAGGATACACAGGAGATCAGGGTGAATGAAGAGTCGGGCATAGTTGAGAGAACAGAATCTGGCACCACAGTCCTGGGTTTAACTCCCATCTGCCACTTTCTGTCACTGTGACCTTAGACAAGCCCTTGGCCGCTCTGTGCCTGTTTCCTCATCTATAAAATAGGGATAATAATAGCACCCATCTCATGTGAGGATTCTATGATTTAATATGTGTAAAACTCTTAGAACAGTGACTGACACACAGTAAGCACTTAATAGCTGTTAGCTATGATCTTTATTGCTCTAATGTTACATCTCTCAAAATGTTAATTACATATTATACATGCATTATTTATAATATGTATTATTCACATAGGACGCATATGTTATATATTTTATTTAAGAATACTAACATCAGGGGTCAGCCCCATGGCCCAGTGGTTAAGTTCACGTGCTCTGCTTCGGTGGCCCAGGGTTTTGCTGGTTTGGATCCTGGGCACGGACATGGCACCGCTCGTCAGGCCATGCTGAGGCAGCATCCCACATGCCGCAACTAGAAGGACCCACAACTGAAAATACACAACTATGTACTGGGGGGCTTTGGAGAGAAAAAGCAGAAAAAAAAAAGAAGATTGGCAACAGATGTTAGCTCAGGTGCCAATCTTAAAAAAAAAAATACTAACATCAAAAATATGTATTTAAGTTGTGCCAGAAACTTCTGACAAACAGAATCGTTTATTTTTTAATAAGATTTCCTATAATAATGATAATAATTACTATTTTCCATAGCATTTTTATCTCTATTATAGGACACGTCTTCCGTGACTTCTCTTTTTCTCAGTCTTTGTGTAATAAATTAGAACCTTTTTCTTAAAATGAATCTCTAGTTGCTGTTTTAAGTATGAAAGGTTTGGAGAGTTCTTGTTTTGGCGTGATTGCATCTGAAAAAGAAAAACCAAAATTAAATACTGCGCTTTGTAAGTGGAAGGAGGGAGAAGTACAGACTTTTTACTGACCTTTCCAAGCATTATTCTGTAGCCTAACTTAGAATACTGTGCTGGATAACCTGATAGATTCCTAATCCTATTAATATTAAGGTGACTTTGAGATGATCCGACTATAAACCCATAGATAGCAGTTTCATCTTAAAGGGAGAGTGCATGAGAGGCAGAAGATAGTTCCCTGAACTGTGAGGAGGATTTCTTAGACAATATCACTTTAATATTTTGTAATTCCAGGGGTTCTAGAAACCTGATGTTTCATCTTGCGAGGATTACGTGGTTATTCTATCACTGGTTTTGGCCGATTGTAATTGCTTTATTTTATTCCCTTAGCCCTCCTTATAGCCTGGAAAAAATGACAGATCTCGTCGCCGTTTGGGATGTTGCTTTAAGTGACGGAGTTCATAAGATCGAATTTGAACACGGGACCACGTCAGGCAAACGAGTGGTATATGTAGATGGGAAGGTAGGAAAAAATATGTTACTTCGTAAAGCGTGGCTTTGTTAATGTGGATTCTTCATTTGTGAATTCAAGGCTTTTCTCTTACAGTGGTTCTCTCTCTATTTGGGCCTGCATCATTTTGCTGTACAAAGCAAACTAATAATGGTTATAAAACTCATAAACTATAACCTCTAATGTTTGAACTTAAAATGCCTTTATTTTCTAATCTTTCCATCATGAGTTAATAAAATTACATCTAAGTAGCATGGCTATTTGCTCCCTTGAATTACATTATTTCTAAAATTAAGTATTAAATTTTCTTGCATTTGTGTGTTTTCAACTTTTGTATTTTATTACTTAGGAAGAGATAAGAAAAGAATGGATGTTCAAATTAGTGGGCAAAGAAACCTTCTGCGTTGGAGCAGCGAAGACAAAAGCAACCATAAATATAGATGCCGTCAGTGGCTTTGCTTATGAATATACTCTGGAAATTAATGGGAAAAGTCTCAAGAAGTATATGGAGAACAGATCAAAAACCACCAACACTTGGGTGTTACATGTGGACGGGGAGGACTTTAGAGTCGTCTTGGGTGAGTGAGTGCTGTTCTGCAGCATTTATCGGCTCTTTATGATGGCTGTTTCATTAGTTCCTCTAACTGTCCCGACCTTTTGTGGGAGCTGTGAATAGGAGAGAATAAGTGCAAGAGTATTTCTTTTTTTTTTCTTTTTGAGTTGTGGAATTACAAATTTTTTTAATTGAGGTAAACATTGGTTTATAACACTATATAAATTTCAGGTGTACATCATTATATTTGGATTTCTGTGTAGATTACGTCATGTTCACCATCCAAGGACTAATTACCATCCATCACCACACACGTGTGCCTAATAACCGCTTCACCCTTCTCCGTCTCCGCTTCCCCTCTGGTAACCACCAATCTAATCTCTGCATCTGTGTGTTTGTTTGTTGTTGTTTTTATCTGCTATTTATGGTGAGATCATACAGTATTTGACTTTCTCCCTCTGACTTATTTCACTTAGCCTAATACCCTCAAGGACTGCCCAGCTGCACTGTATTTCTCATGTGTCCTGTGTGGATGGAATGTTCATTTAATTGACTGATTTATATATAAAATATATGAGAACCATATAGTGATGGATTTGAGGATTATTTAAACTTGGATTAAAAAAGATTGATGTGGACATTTGTTATTATTTGATGTTTCTATTTAAAAGCATATCTAAAGGCAGTTGGAAATTTAAGATTCATCAGTAAGAACTTTTCTCTAGGTGGCAATAGGTTTAGGACTGCAGCAAGATCAAAATCGTCAAAGTCCAGATAAAGTAGATTAAAAAATAAAAAGTAATAAGCTGCTGATGTTTAAACTAAGTTCTGTTGTCACAGATTGCGATGTGTGTTCTCAGTTTCTATCAGGCCCACGAAACTTGGGAGACAAATATTTGCCAGTTACTACCTTATCTCTCTTCTGGTTACCCCTTTCTTATCACTAAGTTAAGACTGTTTAGATCATCTTGTTAATTCATTGACTGATTTATTTAGATAATATTGACACCTTCTAAGGCAGTTAGTGTAGCAAGCACTGAGGGTGCAGAGATGAAGAGACCTTGTCCATACCTCAAAGAGTCTGCAGTCTAGTCAAATGCTAGCAAATACCTCAAAAAAAAAAACTTGTAACAATGAAAATGTTTATCAAGTAATAAATACACATAGTTGAAAAATGAAACCAGAAACTCCTGTATAGCTTATTTATTGACGAAACTGGGTCAGTTTGTCTTGAAGAGTTTGCTGTGGTCTGGATTTTGTTGATGGCTTTCCTGTGATGTGCTTCTGTCTTTAATATTTCCTGTAACTTGGTAGTTGACTCTGAAGAATTGGTCAAGTTTAGGTGTGATTATTTTTTTCTGGCAAGACCACTTTATTGTTTGTTATATCAAGAGGCACATGGTGTTTATTTGCCAAGGATGTCGACAACCATCAATACCTAGTGCCTCATCCATTAACTCATTAGCAGTCGCCCAGTGCTGATACTCTGCTTCTCTCATTCCTTGCTCATTAGCTGGAATACTTCTATAATGAGAAACTTCCTGTCCTCTACTATTTGGTTACACAGAGGTATAATTTGCATAAGAAATGCAGGAGATCTGCTTATTTTCCCTTTATTTACCAATTTTCAGGATATTGAACTGGCTCCTTCTCCCCTAAAGGTGATCATTTAGGTTTGGTTTTTGTTTTTTAACTCATGGATTTAAACAATTTGATGTGTTTCAGTACTTCTTGAGTTATTATCCTTATTGATGCTCAGATTGTCCCATTTTTGGCCAATGGAGTGCTCTTTCGATTGGCCACTGAGCCCTTCTGACACATCCTTGGTAGACTGGCTGTTATGACAAGATGTTCTAGGCTCATTTTGAACATTTTCTACCCAGACCTGGAATCACCCATTTCTCCAAGAAGCCCTAGTTTCTGTTAGAGAAAAATGGTATTTCAAGAGCATCATGTGAGCATACGTTCAGAATGCTTATTCAGTATTTTTAGGTATTCGGTGGATGGAGCAAGGAAATTATATACATGCATAGACAGATAGATTAGATAGATAGGTAGATGGAGGGAGGAGGGAGAGACTTTTTTAGAGATAAAATAGATTGTGAGTTTGTACTGATCCTTGTAATTCAAATTCAGGAATACTAGGTTTTTAAATTTTTTATTTATTTTATTTTATTTTTTGAGGAAGATTAACATCTGCTGCCAATCCTCCTCTTTTTGCTGAGGAAGACTGGCCCTGAGCTAACATCCGTGCCCATCTTCCTCTACTTTATATGTGGGACGCCTACCACAGCATGGCATGCCAAGTGGTGCCATGTCTGCACTGGGGATCCGAACTGGGGACCCCTGGGCCGCCGAAGCTAAACGTGCACACTTAACTGCTGTGCCACCGGGCCAGCCCCGGGAATACTAGGTTTTTACTTAACCTTGGCTAACATCTGTACGTTCTTTCTTCCACACTGAGAATCCTGCTTCTCAAGGACACAGAGGATGATGCAATTAAAATATGATATAATTACTCCTTTGCTTTGTGCCGCCTTACATGCATAGTAGTCTCAGTTAACAACACAAGTACTACCATCGTTAATACTATTACCAAAAAAATTTAAAGCATTTTCTTGCATATCCTTTTCCAATTGTACTGTATCTACATTGTCAGAGCATACGGCCATTATACACTGTGCCCTTTCCCTTCCAACCCACTCTCAGTCCTATAAGTAAATATTTATCTCTTGCTTTGAAGTTATCGTATTGCTCCTGTCTCTGATCATTTGCTTGTCTGACACTTGTTCTCTAGTGCATTCCTTAGGACTACTAACGATGTTACTTGAGTTCTTGCATGCTGATGACATTTTTCTGTGTACTTTATACTTAATATTCTTGGCTCACATTTCCTTTCCTTAAGTATCTTAGATATATTACTCCACTTTCTTCTGGCATAAAGTGTTACTGTCAAAAAGTCTGATGACAATCTGATCTTCTTTCCTTTGGAAGTGCTTTGTCTTTGCCTCGTTTTACTAGAATATCTCAGAGTTTCCGCATACTTCCTCTACCCGCCCCCCTCAGTTTTCCCCATTATTAACATCTTGCATTGGTGTGGTACATTGGTGACAAATTGGCAAACCAATATTGACGTGTTATTAACTAAAGCTCATAGGTTACATTAGAGTTCACTCTTGCCTTGTGCAGTTCTGTGGGTTTTGCCAAATGTAAAATGTCCTGTATCCACCATTACAGTATCCTACAGAATTCTTTCACTGTCCTAAAAATCCCATGCTCTTACCTATTCATCCTTCCCTCCCCCCCGCCTCCCCCAGCCCCTGCAACCACTGATCTTTCTATTGTCTCTATAGTTTTGCCTTTTCCAGAATGTCACATAGTTGGAATCATACAGTATGTAGCTTTTTCAGACTAGCTTTTGTTACTTAGCAATGTGTGTTTAAGATTCTTCTATGTCTCTTCATGACTTGAACGCTCATTTCTTCTTCTTGCTGAATAGTATTACATTGTGCGGATGTACCACAGTTTGTTTATCTGCTCACCTACTGAAGGACGTCTTGGTTGCTTCCAGTTTTTGGCAATTATGAATAAAGCTGCTATAAACATTTGTGTGCAGGTTTTTATGTGGACATAAATTTTCACATCAGTTGGGTAATTAACTAGGAGCTTGATTGCTGGATCATATGGTAAGAGTATGTTTAGTTTTGGAAGAAACCATCAATCTGTCTTCCAAAGTGGCTGTACCATTTTGCATTCCCACCAGCAATGAATGTGAGTTCCTCTTGCTCAGCATCCTTGCCAGTAGTGTTGTCAGTGTTTTAGATTTTAGCCATTCCAATAAGTGTATAATGATACCTCATTTTTTTTTAAAGATTTTATTTTTTTCCTTTTTCTCCCCAAAGCCCCCCAGTACATAGTTGTATATTCTTTGTTGTGGGTCCTTTTTTAGTTGTCACATGTGGGATGCTGCCTCAGCATGGCTTGGTGAGCAGTGCCATGTCTGCGCCCAGGATTCGAACCAACGAAACACTGGGCCACCTGCAGTGGAGGGCGTGAACTTCACCACTCGGCCACAGGGCCAGCCCCGATGCCTCATTTTAATTTGCAGTTTCCTAATGATGTGTGGTGTTGAGCACCTTTTCAATTGCTTATTTGCCGTCTGTGTATCTTCTTTGGTGACCTTTTTGTGCAGATCTTTTGCCCTCTTTTTAATTGAGTTGTTTGTTTTCTTATTGTTGAGTTTTAAGAGCTCTTTGTATATTTTAAATACAAATTCTTTATCAGATAAGTGTTTTATAAATGTTTTCTCTCAATCTGTGGTTTGTCTTGTCACCTTCTTTTTGATTTTTAAAAATTTACTCCTCTAGGGCTGGCTGGGTGGTGTAGTGGTTAAGTTCACATGCTCCATTTCCACAGCCCAGGGTTTGTGGGTTTGGATCCCAGGGACGGACCTACACACCTCTCAGCAAGCCACCCTGTGGTGGCGTCCACATAGAAAACAGAGGAAGAAGATTGCCACAGACGTTAGCTCAGGAACCACCTTCCTCAAGCAAAAAGAGGAAGACTGGCAACAGATGTTAGCTCAGGGCCAGTCTTCCTTACTAGAAAAAAGAGTCCTCCTCTTCATCTTCTATTTCTGTTAAGGCAGTGTTTATTGTGTTTATTTGCTATGTGTTCCTTTTAGTTTAGTCTTCATTTCTGAAGTTATTTTTATTTTTACTTATAATTTTTTACTGAGTTCTTATTATTTCATTTCTCAGAGTTTTTCTAATTCTTATTTATGTTATTACATATCTTGTATGGTTTTCTAAATTTCTTTTAGCTCATTTTGAAACAGTATTTTATAGTTTTGTCTTTTTTGTAGGCATGTCTTTCTGATGCTTTTATTATCTGTAATGATGTCTGTTCTTTTTCCTTATAACTTTTTATGGAGCTAGAGCTCAATACCTTTCTTTGCTCATTTTTATATGAACTTAGTCTTCCTGAATTTGTAGAAGAGAGTGTGGTTGTGGACAACTTCATAAA